TGTGTGAAGGATAAACTACCGCCGCTTTGGACCACCTCAATGTGTGTTGATAAATTCAGCTGCTTTCGTGGAGCTAGTTATATTGGCCGCACAAAGCGCACACTTTCCAAACGCATCTCTGAACATTATCCGGCATGGTTAGCAAAGGGACAATGCAAGACGATTACTAGCTCAATTCTCGAGCATTTGGTGAACTCAGGTCACGTAGCTCCACCAGGGTCGTCTTTCAGCATCATCTACAAAGTGAAGCCATCTGGTACAAAGTGCGTCAGGTTTCGACTTTTGTGTATGACGGAGGCGCTGGCAATTAGTCACTACAACCCTCAACTCTGTACACAGCGGAAAAAGTTTGTCCAGTCTCTTATTCTACCTTGGTCTTAAACCTCTTCACTAATCGTTCCCTGTGAAAAAATTTGATTTTTCTTTACTTTTTTAACTTTTAATTTTACTTTTGCTTTAATAATTAATTCACTATTATCAATTTCATAAGCTCCTTTTGTATATTTTCACACCATCTTTACACTTGTTAAATTGACACTCAAATACCTTTATTCTCACTCAATAGCAGTTTTAACCTTATCAAATTTCTATCTTTGTTCTGTTGAGTACCACGTAATTTACAACTTTAAATTTACACTTCTAAAGCCACTTCTGAGTAGTTATATCAATTATGTCACCCCCTATTACTCAATAGTAGACCAATACATATATTTTGTAAGTATAAATACGACTGTATAGCCTCTGAAGATGATTTCGTCAATAAAGAAAATTTTCTTCGCTGAATTTGTCTTTTGTTTTCTTTAAAGATGGATTTAATGAAGGATGCTTATAAAACAACGTGAAAAATATATGAAAGAAAGATTAAATGTGCAAATTGTGATTCCACTATATATGGTAGACCTATTTTGCCTACATCTGTGTACGGGATTTCAAATAAATAATTCCTTTACCCAATTCTCTTGTCTTGTGTCATTACATAACTGACTAATTGTCAGGCATTCTATTTTCAAGTGGTCATCTGTAGAGATTTCGATTGATTTCAGTTTTGATCACGATTTGACTTCAATTAGACATTCATTAAAAACACAATTTTTTTGTTCAGCGAAGAAATTTCTTTTCAACAACTTCATTTTCAAGCTGTACAGTCGTATTTATATTACACAAAAAGGTTATTAAGTGGCACTAAATAATTGCTCAGTAAATATACATATATATATGTGATAAGAATAACGATAATTAAAATGTTATAGGGCGTAGAGTTGAAGTGGATGGATTACAAAATTATTTGATTGTTTTATAAGTGGATTGATGTCAAAAATGTTTTTAAAAAATGTTTTAAAAATGTCAAGTGTTGTCTAAACATTTTAAAATTAGGAGTACGATTACGATAAGAATGAAGCTGTGAAGTGAAGTGGAATGATAAGGGTTGACGTCGTCCAGTCCTGTAGCAGCATCTTACATTTTGCAGGGGCGAATCGCATGCCAAACATACGAAGATTGCTGCTCAAGGTGTTCAGAAGACTCTGCATTTTGTCAGCATCCTCCCCTAACAGGACTATGTCATCTGCATATTCTAAGTCCATTAGATTATTCCCTGGTAACAAGTCGATTCCTAAGTCACTACGTTCAGTTAAGGATACTTCCATTAGCATATCTATGATGAAGTTAAACAGAAATGGGGAAAGTGGACATCCCTGTCGGACACCACTGGTTGTTACTAATTCAGATGACAGTTCCCCATAAGCCCTTACACGACTACGTGAGTTTGAATAGAGTGCCTTAATTAGTGCAATGTACTTTCTTGGCACTCCCTTCACAGTCAGACATTGCCATAGTACTTTTCGGTCCACGGAGTCGAAGGCCGCCTTCAAGTCAAGAAATATGACAATTGTTGGACGCCGAAAAGTGTGTCTATGTTCTAGAATCTGTCGAAGAGTGAAGATATGATCTATGCACCCTCTACCTGGTCTAAAGCCTCCTTGATTTTCCCTTGTCTGTTCCTCCCGAGTTCTGCTTAGTCTATGCATGATTACTGAGCCTAGGATTTTAGAGACTATGTTCGTTAGGCTGATCCCCCTATGATTATCACACGAGGACTTGTTTCCCTTCTTGAATATCGGTATAATGAGTGACTTACCCCAGTCTGATGGTACTGTCTCTGATTCCCAGACTTTGCCTAGTACCTCAGTTAATCTACAAACTAGTATGTCACCCCCATATTTAAACACCTCCGGAATAATTCCGTCGGGTCCTGCCGCTTTGCCTCGTTTCAAATTACTGATAGCTTTTGTAACCTCACCTACAGACGGCGGACCAGTGTCTATATCCCATTCGGGTACGTGGTGGATGGCGGGGAGGTTCAGTGTGGCTGTAGGCAAGTTAAATTGTTCCTCAAAGTGTTCTTTCCAGCGTTCAAGGCGTCTATCCTGAGAGCTAATTAAGGAGCCATTTTTCTCAGAAATAGTCTCACTTATGAATTGCCTTTTCCCGCCCGATTCTGTGATGAGTCTAAAGAGTTGCCTAGTGTTGCCTATCGCCAATGCTTTTTCCATCTCTTTCGCCTTTGTCACCCACCACTGTTCACGGTCTTTGCGGAGACTTTTAGTAAGTTTCCTTTTGTGCAGCTTTCGCTCCTCATTGAATTCGGAGCTCGCCGGAATAAGTCTTCTAGCATCCATCAGTTCGGATGAGGCAGTCGAAATCCAGTGGTTTTTACTCACCTTTGGATTTGTCTTATTCACAGCTTTTACAGCTGTATCTATAGCTGACTGAATATTCTTCCAGGCTTCTCCAGGGTGAGCACAGCTGTCGGATTCAGATATGCGTTTAGCTAGTTCTTCCTCAAATAGGGATTTAGTTTCCTGATCGAGCTGGGGGCGTAATGGTTTTACCGCCAGCTGTTTCCTACGTCCGTTCAGTCGTAAGCACACCCGAGCCCGGACCAGTGCATGATCGGTATCTACACACGTGTTCCACAAGGAGCGACAATCTCCTACCGACCCACGCCAACGATAGCTTATTGCTATGTGGTAGAATTAGTAGATACAATTAGAAGTGGCTAGTCTAGGTACTTCCTTTTTCAATTGGGGAATCGCAACCGGTCATGTAGAAAATTAAAACTTTTACTTTACCAGTATTAAAGGTTTTTTGAACTGATTTTCTTAACTTCTTCGTAATTATTTCGCTAGGTTTATCACCCTTGAATTTCAGTCGCATGTATGAAGTTGAATAAGACATTCAGAAGACAAATTTCGCGAGATTACATCGTCATTTCGTAGTTTCTTTACAACCGCTTTACAACTAACATGGTTAACAATGATAAAATAAAGTTCATGAAAATTACTCAGTTAGATAAAAACAAAAGTACATACTAATGACCAATCATATTTAGATAGGTCATGTAGTCAGTTCATGGCAGGCGAAGATTGAAGTCTATTGATTTTTGTACACACAGTTTAGGCTGTATGTGATTAATCCAAAATGGTTCCATCACCTTCTGTGAACTTCTCTCGAAAGAAATCCGAAACGATAATCCAAACTATGGATTTAACCACACGTAGAGTGACGCGTAAAGTCCAAAATAAAGGATATTCTGCAATACGGTACTTTATTACATAAAAATAGATATATAATATACAAACCTCAAAATGTGAGGTGTCTGTGGCTAAATGCCGTCAAATGCACAACCACTGTGCAGTCAATAAGTAAAAACAGCAATGCTGTGTCAAGGTCGATCCACCCGTCGGTTCAAACGGCCCGCGAATGCCAAGCAAAGAATAAACAAATATGAACAAACAACTTTCAATAGTAAAGCATACACTATAGGGTAAATGCAGCAAATAATGTTTAAGGAGAAGAAAAATAAGAACTATACATTAACAGAATGATAATAGGACAAGTAATTTAACTGCAGTTGTAAGCAAATGTCATTGTTATAAATTATCATATAAAATCATACTACTTACTAATGGCAAGTAGTATAATGTTGAACAAAGGAAAGATTGAGAATGAACAGGTAGGAAAGGAATTAACACCTCCAATAACCAACCTTGAATGAGAGTTATGTGGTGAAATAATTGTGAAACAGTCATTAATATTTATTATGTAACCAGACATTAATAAGTGTTTTGCAATGGGTGATGCTGGATTTCTACTAAGATTAATCGCGTTGGGATTTTCAATATGATTCAGTAGCCATTTTGGAATATGTTCTTTTCGACGACATTGGAACATTCTGTTAGTTCTACCTATATAGGTGTCACCGCAGCTGCAGGTGAACTTGTAGATACAGTTTGAAGTAGAGTCCACAGAATTTCGTCTCTTAATCGTAGGAACAGGGATCGAAAATGTTCGGCAAGTGAGAGAAAGAGATGCGGCGTAAAATGTGCGTCTGATGGCTGACCAAAGTCTTTGAGCTGTCAACTGCATAATCTGGTCGCCCTTGAATGGTAGATTAATAAAGATAGCTTTCTTTGGTACAGAAGCTGTCTTTTCAAGATGTGGTCTATCCTTACCGTGACAACTGATGAAGTTTTCTGGATAACCATTGGCTAGTAAAACTGAATGTATATGTCGAAACTCATCCATTAATGTGTCACTCGTGCATATTTTTCGGGCCCTTGAGAACAAATATTTCACTACGGAACGTTGTTTATACTGGATAGGAACAAAACTGATAAAATGAAGATATTGTCCACTCCATGTCTGTTTACGAAAAATAGATCGTATGTATAGAGGCTTCTTGTTCACAGATAGTGAATAGTGCGTTTCAGCTTTCTTGGTCATGTGTTTCCTAATGCATATGTCTGGATAGCTATTTTCATTTGTGTGTTATACTCACCACACACACACACACACACACACAATCAGAGATACACATTCACTATCATACAGCAGAAAAATGAAATGTGTCTAAGTTTTAGTAAAATGTAGGAAGTGAATGCGATTTAGCCAGTTTAAACCTGTTTCTATTTCATTTTAACACTCAACTTTCAGCCTACATGATCAGTGATACATCTGAGATTAAATCTGTAACATTGACCCGCTTATGTATGTGAGTGGTGTTTATTTTAAGGTTATCTAATCCGTGTACTGAAAACAGCAGTTAAAAGTAGATAACAGATCACTCTTGTTACATTTTGTATTCATGTTCAGATTAATGAGTATTAACGAGAAAGAGAGAGTGAGAGTGAAAGAAACAGATAGTGGAGGGTACAGCTAAGTTGAAAACACTTTCACTTTCTAACCTACATGATGAGATTTGTATCTGAGGCCATGTTTGCATGTTTTTTTTAACGTTCATTATGTGTACCTGGTTGTTGACTTGTTATGTGGTTATCAGGTATATTGTTTAAACAAATTAGCGGCCTGTAAACCTAATGATTGCTAGATTATTATTGGTGTCATTTTTGAGATATGCACATTTTAAAGTCTCTCATTCAAGTGTACAATGTAACTGTAAATGCACGATGTAACATGAAATATTACTAAGGCCATAGTAGTAAAACAGGTTTGGATAAAACGTTTCTCTACACAAAGATGTCAAATCGAGCGAGAATCGGGAAGGCGAGCGAGAAACACATTCATCAACCTGAAACCAATCTGAAAATTTTCGTCACTAAGTATCAACAACAAAATCCAGTCGGATTTTCAATACAAACGTCAAGTCAGTCAGCTCTTCTATACGGATCAGAAACTTGGCGGGCGGGTTACAAAGAATATTTCCAACAGATTGCATGCAGATCTTTATCAAAAAGGCCGCTGGGTGACATCGCGCGCGCATCAGGCCATTGCTCGAGTGGAACCAGGCCGAAAGGGAAGCGGCAAGTGGGTGGTCAGTGCAAGGGTGACATGGAGGAGATCGTGTGAATAGGAGTTGAAACAGTATGGAATCACATGGATGCAGGTGAAAAGTACAGCAGAAGACAGAAGTTGCAAGTGGAGAGGTGCAGTTGAAGCCCTATGTTCCACTAGGAACCCATGGGAACAATAATAATTCAATAATACACAAAGTTCAGGTTTCTTTATATAGACTGCTATGCCTTCAGCTGCATAAAGAAAGATATAAGCGAAATTTTTTTAAACGACTTGACTGTATTTTAATATTTGACTCTGAAAGAAGTCTTGCCTGATGGATTGTGCATGAGCAGAAGTAATAATATGCTCCAGAATTGACCTTTTGACTGTTCTACGTTCTCCTTTTTATAGGCATATTAGTAAGGTATTCATAGGTTTGTCTAAATAATGTCCTACTGGTATGGCCTATGCACTAAGCTTGACAGAAGCATATGAATTGGTAAATACCCATTGAAGTGGTCAACATCAGTATCTGGTCTTTCATATTTTGGTGAATAAGAGCATGTGTAGAGACGGTGAGGCGTAGAGATGTATCAAAGAATATTCTACGAATCGCCGTTGATAGGTGACTTAGGAGAACTTCACTAATTCAACTTCGCCTGAATTTCAGATTTGTCATTACCTGTTTTTTCGACACATTCAGGTTTCGAAGAGACTCGGTTTCTTTTCTCTAGATGAAGGACGTTGGATATTAATTTTCGATTACAGTTTTTTTTTTCTCAAAAAGTATTCCAGTTCCTTATTCAATGCATCTTCAGTGTATGTGTGATAGGTTCTCGTCGCAAGACAGGTGATGAGATTTCTTCTCCAGCTCACTGGGTTAAAACAGTGATAGTTTATCAACTGTCCATTCTTATTTGGATTCCTTCTGATTGTTTTGTAAGCTAAACATCAAGAAAAGAAAGATAGTTTGCCTTCTGTAACACTGATCGAATGCCCATAAAAATCAGATGGCTGTCTTAATTAATAGGCCAGCCCTGAGTCTGACTTCAGAGGAAGTGGAGCAGCGGCAGGAGCTACGTTCCTATTTATTTCCATCAACTGAATGAAGTTCATACTGCATTCAATCCAGTCGGATTTTGGAGTCCTTCATGTACACTACCATAGGTTTGGTATGAAGATTTTCCAGTTCCTCTAGTTAGACCGGCATGTCTAACACCAGTTATAAACATGAGAAATCTTCATTATCCCCTTTCACTTTTGAGGAGAAAACCGCCGCAGGAAAATAGGACTTACTTGTTTGATGCTATGAATGTTTGGTCACATGAAAGAATTAGGAGAGGAAGAAGGCAGTCTACCCACCCTTGGACGCTTCATAGGGTTAATGAGGGTATTCCCCAGTGAGTAATAATGTGATGGTATTAAAGAAAGCAAACATATTAATATGAAACTATATTCTGCTGATTGATTGAGCTGAGTGGAACATAAGGTTTCAACAACACATCGCCACCTTGTTTTTATTTTCGGAGAGAGATATCATAATGAATTAGGTTGTGCTTCTGATCAGATACAACTGTGTCACACGATAGACTGTCGATTGATCTTTTATTTTCAAGATACCAGACGAAGAGAAAATGTCATGCAATAAACTTGGCACTATAATAAATGATTATTAGTTTTTTTGTGTGTGTGTGTTTTACACAGTCAGCTGATGTGACAAGTTGCCTCATTTCAGATAGACATCAACTTTTTACGTTTCACTAAAGTAAATCTACTCATATTAATTATGATTTATTTTTGTTTTTTTTCTCTCTATACTACTTATAGTAAATCAGGAAATTTAATAACTGAACCATGGGTTATTTCAATTGGTGAAAAGTATGGCAAGACATCAGCACAAGTTTTATTACGTTATCTTATTCAACGTGGATTAATCGTTGTCCCTAAATCGGTTACACCTAGTAGAATTGAAGAAAATTTTCAGGTTTGTATGAAATAATTAATTGATTCACTGTAAATATTTTTACTGCTGTGATTTTCACCCTTATTTAATTATCTGTTTACTTAATAATACAACTTTTTTTAATTCGTGAAAAATTCTTATTGGGATATATAGAAAATCAAATTTAGCGATACAGAGAAGTCTTTTCAACGAATTTATTATCAAGCTGCATAATCGTATTTTGATGTGGTTGTGTTCTCTTAGTTGGATAGCTAATTTGCGAAGCTTTCATCGCCCTACTAGGCGACATCTTCAGCGCGTACTTCAATTCAAATTCAAGTGAGCTTTTAGATTTCTCCACGAGTTTATTAATCATCTCTCCTGGTGACTGGGCCTTGGACGTGACTGTTTGTTTTGTGTGTGTTTTCACACCTTCTAGGCAGCTACTTGTATCAGAACTGATTGTTTCCTTGACTTGAACTTTGACTCTTTGTGTGTAAAGTTGCTTTCTTATCGGTTGATAAATTTTGTCTATCTCGATGTGTCTATTGATTGATGATTCACTGGAGTACCAGCCAAGCTTCTAAAAACGCCCTAACATTCTTGTTGTTTCCTCTGTCTAATATTTGAACGTTGGTTGTCCTAGTCGAATGGATGTCCGTGGTTGTCTGTATGTAGTAATATGAAGGAGTGGATATCATCATGTGTTTTGACGGTTAGCTTATGTTCGTGGATACGAAGATGAAGGGGACGTCCAGTTTGCCCAATGTAGTGTTTTTCACAGTTGTTACAATTTATTTTGTAGATGGTGTTGGTTTTATCTTCTTTCGCTGTTGAGTCTTTTGGCTGACATAGAGCCAGCTGAGTGAAGTGACTTTGTTGGTTTGTGTGCAACGTCAATTCCTAAAGGTTTGAAGAGTGTTGCAGTGATTTCTGAGATATCCTTTACATATGGTAAGGCGATTTTCTGTGTGCTTTCCTTGGAGGCTTTTGGTTTGAAAGGTTGGCTTGGGGGTATATGTTTTTTGATGAAATTCCGGGGATATGCATTCTTTTGTAAGACGTCCATGAGATATCTTTCTTTAAGGTCCTATGGATGCGGTTGCTCAATGTTTGTATGTGATTTGTTGGGAATTGTTGATATACATCCTCGTCTTTGAGTCGTTCTTCAGCTTTCTTGGTGTATCCTTCTCTATCCATGATTACTGTTGTTCTTCTCTGGTCGGCTGGTAGAATGATGATTTGTCTTTCCTTTTTTCAGCTTTTTGAGGGCTTTAGTTCTTGAGAGTTGAGTTGTGTGTGTTGTTTTTTCTGTTTGACCATTAGTACAGTTGTTTGGCGTATCTCTTGTTGTGTTTCATCGTTCAAGTTTGATTATTTGAGTAATGATTCAAGAGCAGCGAAGAAATCAGTTTTTGAGGCATCTCCGATGTTGTAGTTTAATCCTTTTTGTAGTAGTTGTTGTTCCATTTTTGATAGTGGTTGTTTTGATAGGTTGACTACGCAGTCTATAGGTGTCGTCGTCCACATTGTTCGGTCAATTTCCATCCCATTGGGCAGTTGACTGGTGGTTTGTATCCTACACTGGTCGGTAGGGTTTGATGACAGAGGCACTCATGGAGAAAGAATAATTGTCTTCTGGTGGATCTCTGCCTTTTGGCGAAGTCTTCCCACTTTCAAACAGAGAGAAGCGTGTCCCATTCGTAAGATTTAGATATAATAGAGAAGATTTGTAGCTCAGGTGGGTGATTTTGATGTGGTTGTGTTCTATGAGCTGGATAGTTAATTTTCGAAGCTTTCATCACCCTACTAGGTGACATCTTCAGCGCATACTTCAATTTGAAGTATTCATAATGCTGTGGAGGAAGAGTTAAATCTCCTAAGAAAAATGTTAATGAATAAGGGATTTCTACCTCATTTTATAGACAAGTGTATACAGTCAAAACCTATGAATTGTGGCATTTGCCGAAAAATCGTTGAAAATAGCGTTTACTAATCGCTTACTACTGAAAATTTTGGAGGAGGACCGAACGCAATGGAGACGGGAGGCTGTAGCCCTATGTTCGTTCTTCTAGGAACTAAGGGAGACATTAATAGTACTAATATCGTCGTTTCACTCAAATAGCCAGGCGGAAATTGGGTGGTTTTGACCGACTGTGTTCATTGAGCTGACACAAACAGGGTTTGCTGATGATAAACTCGGTGCGAAATAAGCGCAACGGCCGTCCTCTGTCTTTACACCACACCGATCTGTCTGGCTAGCAAGCACTCACTACATTTTGATGTGTATGGTATCCAACTACTCATCTCAATAGATCAGTAGTATATATTTTTACATGAAAAAATTGTGTATGAAACATCCTGTGTTTGTGTGTGATATATATCCAATATAGAAATAAATATAAAATCACATCCTACTACAACGCCCAAGTTTTACACGCGCATATATATTGAATTCTACACAATTAATTAGTAAACTCACTTCATGAGGATTATTTGAATTATAAACCTTTTTTTGTATTATCTCTTTTATTCCTCTGATATTAAAGATTTTTGATTTTAAATTGACGAATGATGAAATGGAAAAGTTAACTACAAATGGATTAAATGAGCGTAAATTTCGAATGCTTGGGTAGGTTGATTCATCGATAGTCTACTTTTTTCTCTTAATGTTTTTTGAGTTTGTGATTTTGTTTAACTTAAAATAACTGATTGATACTCATTTAATTTATTGGAGAACTTCCTTGACCTCTGATATAGAAAGTTGATCTAACATGGCTACATACATACCTTCTACATAAAGGATAGTGATTTATCTACCTAGGTGTATTGCGCATTACTCCGTCTTATTCTGTTGTCATTGGGAAACATGAACTTTTAATTCAGTCTTCTGTTGCTCTATGCATTATTTGAACTCAGCTGGTTACCTGGAATTGTACAGTTGTTTCGTACCAATTTTGAGACCCTTCATAAGTACGCCATCACTGAGGTTCCAACTAAGAACCTTCAGGTTGTAAAGGCGAGCTTGTTGGCTACTCAGCCACTGGGACCTGATCCAGTGACTAGCCCATGAATTCTAAATGTTGCCAACCACGCTTGTAGTCCCGGGTTCGATTGTCGGCTGACGTTCTCCAAAACCTCCCTAAGCCAGTAGTAGGATCAGTTAAATGGAAAGGTTGTGTGTGAGGCTAGCAACCCCACTCGATAAAAAAATGCTACCCAGTTGTTCAGCTTAAAAGTAAGCAAAGTAGAACTTGAACCCAGGGCCTGATGACTACGGGTCTAGTGGTTAAGTCAATGACCTAAATCTTCGCATATTAAATACACAGTCAAACACTGCTTAAAAATAAATGTTCCTCTGGGATGAGTATCATACTCCCACAGATGCCAAGTCATCGGCTTCCTTATGGATATAGGTTAGCTGTTAAGATACTCAAATCAAAACTTTACATCAGTCCATGGAGCTTTTGACTGCTAGTTTTAGCCACTTAGGGAGGTGACTGTAGATATATCCCCCAAAATCCACAGTGATAATCGAGTCGATTAGTTAGACCATACGTTGAGATATACGTAAAATCCGAAAACAGGATTTTTCTTGAGTATTTTGATACTCAGCTACATTGGCTTCGTAAAGGCCTTCAACAGAAGGCTTTAATCGAGAGGTAATTTGGAAACTACTTCGACTCTACGGCGTACCTCAGGTTTTTATCAATCAGTTGCTGAGCACTAATAGGGAAAAACGGGGAAGCTGTCACAATGGCGGACAGACTAAACAGCGCACGACTGCCAGACAAAGAATAAAGATATTTGAATTTGGGAGGTTCAACAGAGAAAAGTTTTTGAACGAGGAGCACACCGCAGATAGTGTTTAATTATAAGGAAATAATTACTATATGTCAAATAGGATATTTATACATTAAGTGAGGTAAACCGAAGTAGCAAACGGAAGTCACGGTAATAGAGTGAATGAATATAAATTCATACTACTTACTATTGATAAGTAGTATAAAAATGTACACAAAAAACGAATAACGATAGCCGTAACGAAACCTAGGCGGCCTGGGAGAGCATTACTGTATGGGTTAGGCTAACAGACTCACTCACAGACTACTGATTGTTCGAAGCTCTAGCCTCAAGTCTTGTGTTCGAGTGAGAAACTATCGCTCGGTATTCTTGCTCATGGTCTAGCAATCGCCTTAACAGATATTCCAGCTGTGTAGATAAATACAGTTGTTGCAGCACTTTTAAAATAGCCGAACTTAATATCTGATATGATGTTTACAGCATTCCTCCAAGCACGCATAATACACAACTACATAAGACCAACTAATTACCTGAGTAAATTTAAATTCTAATTGACCGCCTCTGTGTTGCCTATTTAAATATGTATTAAAACAAAAGCGTGTCGAGTTCGTTTTTCAATAATTTAAGTCCTGACTGAACAAATGTCCTTTCTTGATAAGCATTAGTGGCTACTTTATAGTGAAGTTATATTCATAGATAATATAACTCATTTCATCCACTTGTTTATTTAAAATGGAAATTGGTCCTGTTCATTGTTTTTAGAATGACCGCTCATCCTGAATATCCGTTCAACGAAGAATATTAAAAGTCGCTGTACGGGATTGCCCTTTTTTAACATGTATTTGTTAATTAATAAATTTATTCAGATGGATTATTCCCTGTGGTTCTTTACTGTGTATCTATTTATTTTTTTGGAGGAACGTGGGGTAGACATTGAGAACTCGATACTGAAGATTACATAAGCTATTCAGGAAGGATAAACAAGGATCGCTGACAGCGAACCTGTTGCCCAACACATGTGCACAAAGAAATGCAGATGAACTGGACATAAACTGGGGAGACAAACCTCTAAGATGATATCACACATCAAGAGGGGCCCGAATAGGTAGCGAATAAACAGTTGGGCTTCTGCGGGTGACATGAATCATGTCATGTGAGGATAAAATGAAAGCTTTATGGACAGTTGTGGTGGCGGACAGGCGTGACGGTAGATAGGCTAGTTCAATCAAGACGAGCCATTCGGAACTCACGAAATGAGTAATAGTAGGTGTGAAAAACTGACGTCACTGCGTACGAGTCCAAACTGTTACGCTTCACATCTACACATAACACTAAAGGCGATTAAAATGAGGTCAGGTAAAACAGTAATTATGTCATCAAAGCTCAACAATAATTTTTGTGTACATGTAACAGCGGAACACAAGGCTATGTTGTTCTACCTATTTAAGTTTATGATTCCTTGTACTTCTGAAAACTGACCATCTCATATTACTTATATCTGTGAAGTCTGTAACCAACGTTAGTGGTGCGTAGTTGACTCAACTTACTAACCTTGTTGTCAACAAACATTCGAATAAGTGCGAAAAGTTAGCTAAGTCCATTTTGTAGAATACTAAACATCCTATATATTCTAAAGTGTATCCTTTCTTCAGTCTCTTCAGGGAAAAATAACACTAGAAGCCATTTCATGAGAATTTCTGACCGCATAGTTCAATACTACTAAAATTCAACCACACACTTTTGAGACGGACCTTAGATGGGGAAACTAATATCACGAAAGGGATAACAATACTAATAATAATTTGGTTTATTCCAAAACAGTACTTGTGATACAGAATGGAGTTCTCAGCATTTCACTACACACAGTATTGCATCCAAGTTGTACATTAACAATAAATAAAATTCTACATAGATTATGGGTAATCTCAGTTAGTTTTGCCAACAACATATTGGCATGTCGGTAGCAAAGCCAAAAGTGAACAGAATGTTTGAAGGTGTTAGAAAAGTAGATGCTAGCATATTTACTACCGTAAGGGGTAACAAAAACTCGACATATACGGAGTCTGAAAGGACGAAGAACAATGCTTTAAGTAGAGTTTGTAAGGAAGAGAGAAACAAAGCAGCACATAACAGAGAAAAAAAGAGAGAGAGAAAAATAAAAGAGAGAAAGAAAACGTTGTTTCTATGAAAGATATGAATTGGAAAGGCGAAATCCAGTTGCTCTACTGAGTATTTAATAAGTCAGAAGTTTCACGCCTAGTGCTTTCATCGCACAGAACACGATTTTATTTATTTATTTAAACGCATAAAAGCGAGGTACAATGTGGCACCAAGAAGGATGCGCCACCCAATAATAATAAAACAACATAGATCAAAAGAAAGAAAGAAGAGAAATATATATAAGTAGAGATCGGATAAAGAACTTCATCTGGAAGGAAAACAGTCATGCTTAACAAGTTCAAACAGTATTTGTTAACTATCATCCGGAAGGGGAGAAAGAAGAAAATTGCAACACGTGTAATAGCATGCGATAAGTTTCATTGATTGTTTGTTGCTTTATTCAATACATTCCCAGAACACGAGCTAAGTAGGGTATGGTTGAGTTTTTGTACTTGCTAGTGCGAGCATATCGTTTTCTATCTAGGCTTCCGGTTTTTCCTGATGAGATACAAGAGGAGAGTTGTGAATGAGGAGGGTGATGTGAGTTAGATAAAATGGATTTATCACATGAGTCCAAGTGACTGTCGACCAGAATATTAACAAGCTGGTTAAGTGGCACGTTGCTTACCTTGCTGACAACCTTTAACATCCTGCGTAATAAGGTATAGTCTTTCTTCAGTAGCCCTGGAAAAGCTAAGGGGGAACAATAGAGAATTAGAGGCAGGATGCAAGAGTTAACGAATCGTAAGGGTTGGGTTGGGTTATACCAGAATGTCTTAACTTCCTGATATAGAAGGTAAGACGGAATATTTTATTAGAAATCATCAAGATATGAGACGACCAGGAAAGATCAGCAGATAGAATGACACCAAGATATTTAATTTCCGACTTGGTTTCTATTTTAGTGCCATCTATATTGCACACCTCGTGAGTGCAACCAGTTTGTTTAGGTCAGTCAGATTTATGCCTAAAGGTGAAATTGACTGTTTGGCATTTAGAGGGATTTAAGGTTAGACCGTTCTTTGTGATGGATAAAGAAGACTTTCCGTGGATGAATATGATCCGCAATTAATACAATTATTAACTTTTAGTTTTTGCAGATACGTATTTGGATTTCTTTTATATTGTTTCATGTTCTACTGACAAGATCTATTGTTTGTTTATATTCTTCTAATATTTATATTTCTGTCATACCACTGAATATAACTCATCCCCTACCCATCTGAAACTTAGATATCACTTGATGGAGTTTCACTTTTTATCAATGTTCCATTAAATGAAACTATATACTTCATTTATAATTACATAGATTTACATAATGTAAATGCAGGAATGCCCACATCATACCTAAAAGAACTCATACTTCGATGTACTTGAAATGCTAAATTTCTTTTCAGCAAGGAAATCTATAGACAGAGAGATGGGATAGCTATGGGTTTACCAAGTGGTCCGTTGGTAGCAGACTTCTTACTGGCTTGTATGGAGAGGGGGCTTAACTTCTACAAAAGAGACGTAGACGATACGTTCATTATATGTGCCGAGAACTGCTACTTGAATAACATCCTGAAAGTATTCAGTGACAGTCATCCTGCTATTCGATTCACCGTAGAAAAAGAAATTGAAGAAAAAATATCTTTCCTCGATTTGCTACTCACAAGGAGAGCAGATGGGTCTTTGAAAAGATCTGTTTACAGGAAATCGAAATGGACAGGACAACTGACCGATTTTTACAGTTTTGTCGCCATCGATAAGAAAATGAATCTAATTCGTTCCCTCTCAATACGGGTGCGGAGAATTTGTAGTGAAGATTGTATTGATAATAGAACTCAAACAACTAAAAGAAACCTTCAGAGGGAACATGTATCCACTGCGCTTCACAGAGGCCAATAGCAAATTACGTGGAAGAAATACAGCGATGGACAAGGTGGCTAAAAAAGTGACACTTAGAGTGAGATGCTTAAAATTAATCAGATGATGAGAACATTAAGAAAAACGTTCTTAGCTGCCACTTTACGAATAACCTACTCTAGCCGTCCGCCGGTGCACCTTAGTGTCAAGGAAATGTTAATTGGATTGTCTAATTCCATATGTATTGATATGTTCACCTGCTCTTGCGAAGCTAAATACACAGGACGTTCTTCGAAATACATATCCCGCCACGTTCAAGAGAACCTCTCAGTTTGTCTGAGCAAAAGAGAATGTAGAAGTATGATTTTATCGATATTGAAAGATATTGTAGATACCAACAATGCAGCATCGGACACATCGTTTAATATAGTCCACAAAGTTTGCCAAAAGAGACACGTGTTTTTCTACTTTATATAGCAGGGGCTTTGGCAATAGATAACACAAAGCCAGAACTTTGTGTACAAAACCAATTTGTACTATCTCTTTCGTTAATGTGGTCTTTATTTTACTATGTAATCCATGTAATAACTTTTTTTTATCCTTCTTTATTCCGTGTTCCATTTTTGTTTTATTTCATTTGACTTTATGTTATGGCATAGTCTAACATTTTGATTTAGTCTACTATATTGACAACGTTTCACTCATCCATCCATGTCACCATCATATTATGCTCACGTATTCACATTTCCGAATTTATTTTATTTTCCGATCATCTAATTAACGCATGTTTATTGAACTTTAGGCTGACCTCTATTTATTTATTTAGTTATTCACTCCTATATCTAATCAATTGTGACTCGTAATCCTATAAAATGATGTTATCGCATTAATATCAGGCAAAAGTTTGAGCATTGCGGATTAGATCAAATAGAGTATTAATTATATTTCAGGCGAAGTTTACACACAATGATAAGTTTTGTTATTGGTAATATTTCGAGGAAAATTACTTACTGCCCGCATTCACACACCACTGTTGGAATTGTTTTGTTCACATATTTATGATTTGTACTCATATATATATATATAGTTCATTATTATTTTCTTGCTCATTCATGTTTTTGTATTCATAATTATATTCCAAGTTGTTGATAATTGTATTGAGTCACCCTTGTTACATGTATCCGGTGTGACTGTAATGAATATCGATCGATTCTGTTATGAGTCTTTCTTTCCATTTGTTCATGTTAGTTTTCAGAATACACACATTGTTCCAATCGATTATCAATCAGCTCATCCACTCACGGTAAAACGAGGATTAATACAAGGTCTTGCAGATAGAATACGTAGACTTACAATAACACCAGAGGACTAGTGTAAAAAAAAACATAAACCTCCTATTCAAAATACTACTCGAAAAAAACCATCCAAAAGAATTTATAAAAGATAAAGAAAAAAAGGAAAAACCAGAGAATAACAAGATGGAAGAATTCAAAAAAAAACAGTCAGAATACCATATAAAAATGGTAAATCAGAGGCAATACAAAGTGCGTCGGTGGTACAGTGGTTAGGACTCTCGCCGACCATGCATATGGTCCGGGGTTCGAGCCCACGCCGACACACACCTGATATCTATGGTCGGCCTACAAAATTTGGGCTACCGATATCCACGCTGAAATTCCATACTTGTACCAAAAATACGGTGTGGAATCAAGCTGTAATCAAAAACAAAAAACAAAACAAATTCTCAAAAATATCGGCCAACGAACAACGTTTAAACCGACGAATCTAAACAAAAAT